GTTTAGGTTTAGGTTTAGGGTTAGGTTTAGGTTTAGGTTTAAGGTTAGGTTTAGGGTTAGGTTTGGGGTAAGGGTTTGGGTTAGGGTAGGTAGGTAGGCAGGTACGTCATTAGGTTGGTAGGTCGGTAGGTTGGTAGGTTAGGGTTAGGGTTATGGTTAGGGTTAGGATTAGGTTGGTAGTAAGGTTAGGGTTAGAGTAGGTAGGTAAGGTGGTAGGGAGGTAGGTAGTTTAGGGTTAGGGTCAGGGTTGGGGTTAAGGTTGGGGTTAGGGTTATGGATAGGGTTAGGTTTAGGGTAATGGTTAGGGTTATGGTAAGGATTAGAGTTAGGGTAGGTAGGTAGGATGTTTAGTGTTAGGGTTGGGGTATGGGTAAGGGTAATGGTTAGGGTTAGGGTATGTATGTAGGTAGTTTGGTTAGGGTTAGGGTAAGTGTTAGGGTTAGGGTTAGGGTAGGTAAGGGTATAGGTAGGTAAATTGGTAGGAAGGTAGGTCGGTAGGTCTGTAGGTTGGTAGGTACGTAGGTAGGTAGGTAGGTAGTTTAGGGTTAGGGGTATGGTTGGGTTTGGGGTAATGGTTAGGGTTAGGTTTAGGGTTAGGGTTAGGGTGAGGGTAAGGTTTAGGATTAGGGTAAGGTTTAGGATTAAGGTAGGTAGGTATGTAGGTAAGGTGGTAGGTAGATAGGTAAGTTAGGATCAGGGTTAGGGTTAGCTTTGGGGTTAGGGTTATGGTTAGGGTTATGGCTAGGGTTAGATTTATTTGTTCAGTCTAGTATTAGGGTTAGGGTAAGGGTTAGGGTTAGGTTAGGTAGGTAGGTAGGTAAATAGGTAGGTAGGTAGGTTAGGGTTAGGGTTAGTGTTAGGATTAGTGTTGGGTTTAGGGTTATGGCTAGTTAGGTTTAGGGTTAGGGTTAGGGTAAGGGTTAGGGTAATGTTTTAGGTTGGGGTTGTTGTTAAGGTTAGGGTTAGGTATAGGGTTAGTTTTAGGTATAGGGTTAGGGTTAGGGATTGGGTTAGGGTAGGTAGGTAGATAGGTAAGGTGGTAGGTAGGTATTTAGGTATGTAGGTAGGTAGGTAGGTTGATAGTTAGGTAGGTTGGCAGGATGGTAGGTACGTAGGTAGTTAGATTAAGGTTAGGGGTAGTGTTGGGGTTATGGTTATGGTTAGGGTTAGGGTTAGGTTGAGGGTAAGGGTTACGGTTAGGATAGGTAGGTAGTTAGGTAGGTAAGGTGGTAGGTAGGTAACTAGGTTAGGGTCAGGGTTAGGGTTAGGGTTGGGGTTAGGGTTATGATTATTTTTGGGATTAAGTTTAGGGTTAGGTTTAGGGTTAGGTTTAGGTTTAAGATTAGGGTTAGGGTTAGGGTTAGGGTAAGGGTTAGTTTTAGGGTAGGTGTGTTATGTTTAAAGTTGGGCTTAGGGTTGGGGTTAGGGTTAGGGTTAGGGTTAGGGTTAGGTAGGTAGGTAGTTAGGTAGGTAATTAGATAGGTAGGTCGGTAGGTCGGTAGGTCGGTAGGTAGGTAGGTAGGTAGTTAAGGTTTAGGGGTAGTGTTGGGGTTAGGGATAGTGTTAGGTTGAGGGTAAGGGTTAGGGTTAGGGTAAGTAGGTAGGTAAGGTGGTAGGTAGGTAGCTAGGTTAGGGCCAGGGTTAGGGTTAGGGTTGGGGTTAGGTTTAGGATTAGCTTTAGGGTTAGGTATAGGGTTAAGATTAGGGTTAGGGATAGGGTAAGGGTTAGTTGTAGGGTAGTTAGGTTAGGGTTAGGGTTGGGGTTAGGTTTGGTTTAGGGTTAGGTTAAGCGTTAGGGTTAGGGTAGGTAGGTCGGTCGGTAGATAGGCACGTAGGTAGCTAGGTAGGTAGTTTAGGGTTAGGGGAAGGGTTGGCGTTAGGGTTATGGTTAGGGTTAGGGTAAGGATTAGGGTAAGGGTTAGGTTTTGGGTTAGGGTTAGGGTAAGGGTTAAAGTAGGTAGCTAGGTAGGTAAGGTGGTAGGTAGTTATGTAAGTTAGGGTCATGGTTAGGGTTAGGGTTGGGGTTAGGATTATGGTTAGGGTTAGGTTTAGGATTAGGGTTAGAAAGGGTTAGGGTTAGGGTAGGTAGGTAGGTCAGTAGGTCGTAGGGTCGGTAGGTAGGTAAGTTGGTAGGTAAGTAGGTAAGTTAGGGTCAGGGTTAAGGTTAGGGTTGGTGTTAGGGTTATGGTTTGGGTAAACTAAGGGTTATGGTTAGGTTTAACTAAGGGTTATAGTTAGGGTTAGGTTTAGGGTTATGTTTAGGGTTATGTTTATGGTTAGGGTTAGGGTACGGGTTTAGGGTTAGGGTAGGTAGGTAGGTAGGTAAGTATATCGGTAGATCGGTAGGTTAGGATTAGGGTTATGATTAGAGTTTAGGGTAACAGTTAGGGTTAGAGTATGTAGGTAGATAAGGTGGAAGGTAGGTATGGTAGGTTAGAGTCAGGGTTAAGGTTAGGGCTTGGGTTAGGTTTAAGGTTATTGTTAGGTTTAGGGTTAAGGTTAGGGTTAGGGTAAGGGTTAGTGTTATGGTAGGTAGGTGGTTAGGTAGGTAGGTAAGTAGGGTGGTAGGTATGTAGGTAGTTAGGTAGGTAGGTAGGTTAGGGTTAGGTCTGGGGTTAGGGTTAGGTTTATGGTTAGGTTTAGGGATATGGTAAGGGTTAGGGTTAGGGTAGGTGGGTAAGAAGGGAGGTTGAAGGTAGGTATGTCGGTTTTTAGGTGTGTAGGTACGTAGGTAGGTAAGTAGGTATGTTAATGTTAGGGGTAGGTTTAGGGTAAGGGTTATGATTAGGGTGAGTACAAGGGTTAGGGTTAGGGTAGGTAGGTCAGGTGGTAGGTAGGTAGGTAGGTTATTATCAGGGTTAGGGTTGGGTTTGGGTTGGGTTAGGATTATGGTTAGGGTTAGGTTTAGGGTTAGGTTTAGGGTTAGGTTTAGGGTTAGGTTTAGGGTTAGGTTTAGGGTTAGGTTTAGGGTAGGGTTAGGGTTACGGTACGTAGGTAGTTAATTAGTTAGGTCAGTAGGTCGGTAGGTCTTCAGGTCAGTAGGTCGGTAGGTACGTAGGTAGGTAAGTAGTTTAGGGTTAGGGTTGGGGTTAGGGTTATGGTTAGGGTTAGGTTCAGTGTTAGGGCAAGGGTTAGGGTTAGGGTAGGGAGGTAGGTAAGGTGGTAGGTAGATAGGTTGGTCGGTAGGTAGGTAGGTACGTAGGTAGGTAGGTACGTAGGTAGGTAGGTATGTAGTTAATTTAGGATAAGGGGTAGGATTGTAATAAGGTTATAGTTAGGGTTAAGGTTAGGGTTAGGGTTAAGGTTAAGGTTAGGGTAATGGTAAGTTTTAGAGTTAGGGTAGGCAGGTAGGTTGGTAGGTAAGATGGTAGGTAGGTAGGTTAGGGTAAGGATTATGGTTAGGTTAAGGGTTGGGGTCAGGGTTATGGTTAGGGTTAGGTTTAGGGTGAGGTTAGGGTAAGTTTTAGGGTACGTAGTTAGGTAGGTCAGTAGGTCGGTGGGTTTGTAGGTAGGTAGATACGTAGGCAACTAGGTAAGTAGGTAGGCAGTTTACTGTTAGGGTTAGGGTTGGGGTTAGGTTATGTTTATGGTTAGGATTAGTTTTAGGGTTAGGTAGGTGGGTAGGTAGGTATGTAGGTATGGTGGTATGTAGGTAGGTAGTTATGTAGGTAGGTAGGTAGGTAGGTTGGTCGGTAGGTCAGTAGATCGGTACGTATGTATGTATGTTAGGGTTAGGGTTACGGTTAGGGTTAGGTTTGTGTTAGGGTTATGGTTAAGGTTAGGTTTAGAGTTAAGGTTAGGGTAAGGTTTATGGTTAGTGTAGGTAGTTGGGTAGGTAGGTATGTAGGTAGGTTAGGGTAAATGTTAAGGTTTTGGTTAAGGTTAGGGTAAGGGTTAGTGTTATGGTAGGTAGGTGGGTAAGTAGGTAAGATGGTAGGTAGTTAGGTAGATAGGTAGGTAGGTTACGGTTAGGGTTTGGGGTTAGGGTTATGGTTAGGGTTAGGTTAGGAAAGTAGTTAGGTAAGATGGTAGGTAGGTAGTTCGGTCGGTAGGTCGGTATTCGGTAGGTAGGTAGGTACCTAGGTTGGTAGGTAGGTAGTTTAGTGTTGGGGTAGGGTTGGGGTTAGGGTTATGGTTATGGTTAGGGTTAAGGTTAGGTTTAGGGTAAGGGTTTGGGTTAGGGTTACGGTTAGGGTAGGTAGGTAGGTAAGTAGGTAAGTAGGTATTTAGGTAGGTATGTAGATAGGTAGATAGGTAGGTAGGTTAGGGTTAGGGTTAGGGTTATGGTTAGCTTTAGGGTTGGGGTTAGGGTTAGGGTTAGGGGTTAGGGTTATGGCTAGGGTTAGGTTTAGGGTTAGGATTAGGTTAAGGGTTAAGGGTTAATGTTAGGGTAGGTAGTTTGGTAGGTAAGGTGTAAGGTAGGTAGTTAGTTATGTAGGTAGGTAGGTTGGTAAGTAGGTCGGTAGATCGGTACGTAGGTAGGTATGTTAAGTTTGGGGTACGTATGTATGTACTCCCACAGCTGCTGTAGAGGTCTTGGCCTATGTAAAACCGCTACAAATTAGGAGGGAAAAATCCATTTAAATAACGTAGAGAGGTACCGACGGCTCGGTGAAAATGAACCAGCCTTTTAAATGCAGAAAAACTGGCTGGGCGGCAGGAGACTAAAGAGGTCCTCTTTCATGAACCAGGTCGTGGAGCTGGAAAGGACAGCCACCCTTCCCCCAAATAGAGAACGCCTGACCCTAATCCCAGTTAACCCGCCATATGCGGAACCCTCACGTCCCTCCATACTTTTGGCCTTGAGTGATGCAGCAGTGACGAAACGCAGCCCTGAACATGTACAGAGAGTGGCTGCCCTTGAGACCATGGATGTGTTCGCACACATACCTGTGAAAGTGTTCAAGGACGGTTATGCCGATCTTAGGAAAAGAACTGCTGGGTACGGTGCGCTTATTCAGTACCCAGAAGGTTGACCACCTAATGAAAAACTCTCGGGGCCTTGTGGGACTACAGCGTCAAATTTTGACGCGGAGCTCATATCTATGCACATGGCCCTGGAGAGAGTCCATATCACTTTGGAAGGGACGGAACATGCGGGGCTTGATATTGTTGTGTTCTCAGACTCAAGATCCGCTCTTGAGATCTTGCAGAAGAGACAGGGTACCACACGCCTGGTCGACATCATTCACAACGACATATGCAGACTTGGTGAACTAGGGTGCAAGTTCGAAATACAATGGATACCAGGACACGTCAAAATCAGTGGCAATGAGATAGCTGACACTCTGGCGAAAACCGGGGCTGCCCAGCCTCAGCCAGAAGTACCAATGACTTTCTTGGGAGTCAAAAACTGGCTGGCGGACCACTTCAGACAGAAGTGGTACAGGCAATGGGCTGACAACACGACCGCCAGAGGCGTCTATTAAAATTTGCCCCCTCCTAGCAAACAAGATCCATGGTGGTAGTTAGGTCGCAGATCGCAAAGTTTAGTGACGCAGATGCGCACCGAGCACTGCCCCTTGCACAAATATTTCTGGAGGTTGGATAAAAACAGAGATCCTACCTGCCGGCATTGCAGCCTGACCCCAGAGACCCTAGAACATCTGTTGACAGAATATCCCGCACTACATCTCCCGGGGGAAGCCAGGGCGGTTGGAGGATCCTTTCTGAGGAAAATGTCTGGCTCAGCTCAACAGATGGAGTTGATAGCCAATTCACTAGCCAGGGTCATAAGAGAGTAATCTCAGACCTTCACCAGAATATGTGCGATAGGTTGGTGTTAGGATTATGGTTAGTGTTATGGTTAGGGTTAGATTTAGAGTTAAGTTTAGGGTTAGCGTTAAGGTTATGTTAAGGGTTAGGGTTAAGGTTAGGGTAGGTAGGTGGGTAGGTAGGTATGTAGAGTGGTAGGTAGGTAGTTAAGGGTAGTGGTAGGGTTGGGGTTAGGTTTATGGTTAGGGTTAGGTTTAGGTTTAGGGTTGGGATTAGGGCTAGAGGTGAGGGTAAGAATTAGGGTTAGGGTAGGTAGGTAGGTAGGTAATATGGTAGGTAGGTAGGTTGGGTGCATACAGGACTACTCCCACAGTAGGTAGATTTGGGTCCAGGTTAGGGTTAGGGTTGGGGTTAGTGTTATGGTTATGGTTAGGGTTAGGTTTAGGGTTAGGGTTAGGGTAAGTGTTAGGGTTAGGGTTAGGGTAGGAAGGTAGGTATGTCAGAATGTCAGTGGGTCAGTGAATCGGTAGGAAGTTAGGTACGTAGGTGGGTAGATAGGTAGTTAGGTAGGTAGTTAAGTGTTAGGGAAGGGTTGGGGTTAGGGTTATTGTTAGGGTTAGGTTTAGGGTTAGGATTAGTGTGATGGTACGGGATAGGGTTAGGGTTAGGGTAGGTATTTAGGTAGAATGGTAATGTGGTAGGTAGGTAGGTAGGTTTGGTTCAGGGTTAGGGTTAGTGTTGGGGTTAGCTTTATGGTTAGGGTTAAATTTAGGGTTAATGTTAGGGTTAGGGATAGGGTAAAGGTTAGGTTTAGGGTAGGTAGGTAGGTTAGGGTTAGGGTTAGAGTTATGGTTAGGTTAAGGTTTGGGTTATGGTAAGAGTTAGGGAGAGGGTTAAGGTTAGTGTAGGTAGGTAGGTAGGTAGGTAGGTGGTAGGTAGGTAGGTACGTAGGTATGTAGGTTGGTAGTTTAGGGTTAGGGGTAGGGTTGGGGTTAGGATTATGTTTAGGGTTAGGATTAGGGTTGGTGTTAGGGTTATGGTTAGGGTTACGTTTAGGGTTAGGGTTAGGGTAAGGGTTAGGGTAGGTAGGTAGTAGGTAAGGTGGTAGTTATTTAGGTAGTAAAGTAGGTAGGTAGGTAGGTTAGGGTTAGGGTTGGGGATAGGGTTAGTGTTATGGTTAGGGTAAGGATTAGGTTTAGGGTTATGGTAAGGGTTAGGGTAGGTAGGTAAGGTTGTAGGTAGGTAGGTTGGTCGGTAGGTCGGTAGGTAGTTAGATACGTAGGTAGGTAAGTAGGTAGTTTAGGGTTAGGGGTAGTGTTTGGGTTGGGGTTATGGTTATGGTTAGGGTTAGGTTTAGGGATAGGGAAAGCGTTGGGGTTAGGGTTCGGGTAGGTAAGCAGGTAGGTCGGTCGATAGGTCGGTAGGTAGGTTGGTATATAGGTAGGTAGGTAGGTTAGGGTTGAGGTTAGTGTTGGGGTTATGGTTATGGTTATGGTTAGGGTTAGGTTTAGGGTTAGGGTTAGAGTTAGGGTAAGTGTTAGGTTTAGGGTAGGTAGGTAGGTAGATAAACTGGTAGATAGATAGTTAGCTAGGTAGGTATGTATGGGTTAGGGTTAGTGATGGGGTTAGAGTTAGGGTTATGGTTAGGGTTATGGTTAGGGTTAGGTTTAGGGTTAGGGAAAGCGTTAGTGTTAGTGTTAGGGTAGGTAGGTAGGTAGGTCGGTCGGAAGGTCGGTAGGTAGGTTGGTATATAGGTATATAGGTAGGTAGGTAGGTAGGTAGGTTAAGGTTAGGGTTAGGGTTAGGGTAAGGGTTATGGTTATGGTTATGGTTAGGGTTAGGGTTAGATTTAGGATAAGGGTTAGGGTTAGGGTGGTTAGGTAGGTAGATAAGGTGGTAGGTAGATAGTTAGCTAGGTAGGTATGTTAGGGTTAGGGTTAGGGGTAGGGAAAGCATTAGTGTTAGTATTAGGGTAGGTAGGTAGGTCGGTCGGTAGGTTGGTAGGTAGGTTGGTATATAGGTAGGTAGGTAGGTAGGTTAGGTGTATGATTAGGTTTAGGGTTAGGTTAAGGGTTAGGTTTAGGGTTAGGTTTAGGGTTAGGTTTAGGGTTAGGTTTAGCGTTATGGTTATGGTTAGGTTTAGGGTTAGGGTTATGACTAGGGTTAGGTTTATGGTTAGGATTAGTGTAAGGGTTAGGGTTAGGGTAGGTAGGTCAGTAAATTAGGGTTAGGGATATTGTTGGGGTAAGGGTTATAGATAGGGTTTGGGATTAGGTTAGGATTAGGGTTAGGGTAAGAGTTTGGGTTAGGGTAGGTAGTTATGTATGTAGGTAGATATGTAGGTATGTAGGCATGTAGGTAGGTAGGTTGGTTGGTTAGGGTTAGGTTTATGCTTAGGGGTATGATTAGGTTTAGTGTTAGGGTTAGTTTTGGTGTTAGCGTTATGGTTAGGTTTAGGGTAAGGGTTAGGATAAGGGATAGGGTTAGGGTAGGTAGGTAGGTAGGTAGGAAGGTACGTCGGTAGGTCGGTCGGTAGGTAGGTAGGTAGGTAGGTAGGTACGTAGGTACGTAGGTAGGTAGGTAGTTTAGGGTTAGGGGTAGGGTAGGGGTTAGGTTTATGGTTATGGTTAGAGTTAAGGTTAGGGTTAGCGTAAGGGTTTGGGTTAGGGTAAGGGTAGGTAGGGAGGTAGGTAGGTAGTTAGGTAGGTAGTAAGGTAGGTGGGTGGGTAGGTAGGTATGTAGGTATTTAGGTAGGATAGGATTAGGGTTAGGTTTAGGGTTAGGGTTATGGTTAGGTTTAGGTTTAGTGTTGGGGTTAGGGTTAGAGTTAGGGTAAGGGTTAGGGTAGGTAGGTAGGTAGGTAGGTAGATAAGGTAGTAGGTAGATAGTTATCTAGGTAGGTATGTTAGGGTTAAAGTTAGGGTGGGGTTAGAGTTAGGGTTATGGTTAGGGTTAGGTTTAGGGTTAGGGAAAGCGTTTGGGTTAGGGTTAGGGTATGTACGTCGGTAGGTCGGTAGGTAGGTAGGTAGATAGGTAGGTAGGTAGGTACGTAGGTAGTTAGGTAAATTAGTTTTACGGGTAGGGTTGGGGTTAGTGTTATGGTTAGGGTTAGGGTTAGGGTTAGAGTTAGAAGTGAGGGTAAGGGTTAGCGTTAGAATAGGTAGGTAGGCAGGTAAGTTGGTAGGTAGGTTAGGGTCAGGGTCAGGGTTATGGTTAGGATTAGGTTTAGGGTTACGGTAAGTTGTAGGGTTAGGGTAGTTATGTAGGTAGGTCGGTGGGTCGGTAGGTAGGTAGTTTACGGTTAGGTGTGGGGATGGGGTTAAGGTTATGTTTAGGGTCAGGATTAGGTTTATGGTTAGGTAGGTTGATAGGTAGGTAGGTAGGTAAAGTGGTAGGTAGGTAGATAGATAGGTAGGTAGGTAGGTTTGGTTTAGGGTAAGGGTTGGGGTTAAGGTTATGGTTAGGATACGGATTAAGGTTATGATTAGGGTTATGGTAAGGGTTAGAGTTAGGGTAGGTAGGTAGGTTGTTCGGTAGGTCGATAGATCGGTACGTAGGTAGGTATGTTAGGGTTAGGGTTATGGTTAGGGTTAGGTTGGGGTTAGGGTTATGGTTATGGTTAACTTTAAAATTAAGGTTAGAGTTAGGGTTAGGGTAAGGGTTAATATTAGGGTGGGTAGATTGGTAGGTAGGTATGTAAGTAGGTTAGGGTTAGGGTTAAGGTTATGGTTAAGGTTATGGTTAAGGTTATGGTTAAGGTTATGGTTAAGGTTATGGTTAAGGTTATGGTTAAGGTTATGGTTAAGGTTATGGTTAAGGTTATGGTTAAGGTTATGGTTAAGGTTATGGTTAAGGTTATGGTTAAGGTTATGGTTAAGGTTATGGTTAAGGTTATGGTTAAGGTTATGGTTAAGGTTATGGTTAAGGTTATGGTTAAGGTTATGGTTAAGGTTATGGTTAAGGTTTTGGTTAAGGTTATGGTTAAGGTTATGGTTAAGGTTATGGTTAAGGTTATGGTTAAGGTTATGGTTAAGGTTATGGTTAAGGTTATGGTTAAGGTTATGGTTAAGGTTATGGTTAAGGTTATTGTTAAGGTTATGGTCAAGGTTAGGGTAAGGGTTAGTGTTAGGGTTAGGGTTAGTGTAATTGTTAGGGTAAGGGTAGGTAAAGGTTTGTATTAGAGTTAGGGTTAGGGTAGGTAGGTATTTAGGTAGGTAGTTAGGTAGGTTAGAGTTAGGATTAGGGTTAGGTTTAGGGTTAAGTTTATTGTTAGGTTTAGGGTTAGGGTAAGGGTAAGGCTGAGGGTTAGGGTTGGGGTTAGGGTTATGGTTAGGGTTAGGTTTAGGGTTAGGGTTAGGGTTAGGGTAAGGGTTAGGGTTAGGGTAGGGTTGGTATGTAGGTAGGTTGATATATAGATTGTAGGTAGTTAGCTAGGTAGGTATGTTAGGGTTAGGGTTAGGATTAGTGTTAGGGTTATAATTAGGGTTAGGGTTAGGTTTAGGGTTAGGGTAAGCATTTGGGTAAGCGGTATGGTTAAGGTAGGTAGGTAGGTAGGTTGGTCTGTAGGTAGGTAGGTAGTTAAGGGTTAGGGTAGTGTTTGTGTTTGGGTTATGGTTAGGGTAATGTTTAGGGTAATGTTTAGGGTAAGGTTTAGGGTAAGGGTTAGGGTTAGGGTTAGGGTAGTGTTAGGGTTAATGTAGGTAGGTAGTTAGTT